CATACACGTGCTCAAGCAGACAGAGATTGGCTGGTCCACACAGACAGTCAGACACTCAGACAGGTCGAAGAGCAAGTTTCAAAAGATCCGCTCTAGAAAATAATCGACCCGAACCAGAACACGATACACTTCGCCATTAAACGACAGAGGTAGCGAGAAAAACTTCCCTGGCTGGAGAAATATCACAGCTGAGTTGGTTCCTTACACCCACTTTCTTTAGCGCGCCTCTTCTAGAAGCGGATATTACTAGTATGTAGTCTTTCTCTCATTATAGCCACGAGCGTCCAAGATACAGCTCACCCCGGAGACTGACCCACCCTCCACCCCCTCTCCTTCCGTCCCTCACCCCTCCCTGTCTCTACCAATCCCCGTAATCCGACAGGCGACGTCAGAAGACAGTGACGTTGTTGGACACGCACGGTCGCACGCCCAACGTGATCACTATCTAACGGGAAGGCGCAGTGAAATCTCTAGTAACATTTTACTTGTGTAAAGGGTAGGACCAAAATCTCCGGATACGCTTAAAAGATTTATTTGTAAATCAGTAAAACTGCTAAATGAACTTTTATTTTTTTATAACCAAATAAAAGCGAATTTTATTACAGAAGAAAAACAGCAGCTTTTTAATAGAACTGTAAAAATAAAGTGTTTTCAATAATTTTGTTGACGCCCTCCAAACATTTTCGTGCTGTCTTTGTCCAAATTTAGTGTCATTGAGAAAATTTCTAATAAATGGCCTCTTAAACCAAGAACGTGAAGCTTCATGAGAATCCCAGTTCACCAAGTCACGTCGTAGACTTTTTATATATCTAAAAAAATGTCAATCAATAACAGTCTTGCCTTAGTAGCCTTGTGAATATCAGATTCCAGCCTTACTAAATGGTCTAGTGTGCTCCTGCCGTGGCGGAAACAACTTTGCTGAGCGTTTAGTAATTTCGTTTTCTAAGAGGAACATTAACCTACGTTTAATCATCCTTTCCATAACTTTGCATAGACAATTCGTAAGCGCTATAGGTCGGAACAAACTTGGATTCGTCGGGTCGTCACCCCTTTTTTGGAATATATACGACATGCACAAATCCTCAAGAGACTGGGAATGCCCTTGACGTCCATATCTCATTGAAAACCCCTTACCACCCTTATCAGGTCAGCCCTGCTCAGGTGCAGTAGCATGTCGTAGGCCTGTGTAATCCCATTCGGTCCAAGTCTGGTTCTTTTGCAGATTTTCAAAGCACGATCGAGTTCATCTCAGAAAAACTAACGGTTTAACACGATCTCTATCTGAGGAAGTCGCTCCTGAACGTAAAAAGCGAAGCCTCTTCCATTATCTTCCCCGTGTGGCGTATAGTTCCTGAAGTCCTGCTCAGTCCTCTGACACCTTAGGATACACCATCGCTCTTACTAGAGAACCGAAGGGAGAATGTACCCCTAAGTAGGCAAATAATTAGCTTTACTGTAAAATGATAAATGTGTTGCTTTGATAAATTATTCCTAGATATCTAAAGTAGGATGTCAATAACCTACTGACTATATATATTTTTTTATATACAGAAACACCGTAATTCATATATAACGAAAAAATCTAAATATTATTATAACAGACGGAAATTTTATGGATAATATTTTATTATTAATACTTTCAGCATAATTTGGAATATTGTATCACATTAGTCCTATGCCCGTGTGACCATAAAATGTGGCATGTTCAGCATTCTCATGATAGCTCCTGAAGGGTCAATGATCTCAGAACTTTGTAAAACATTCCTAGAAGGCTAGTAATATATATATATATATATATATATATATATATATATATATATATATATATATATATATATATATATATATATATATATATATATATATATATATATATATATATGGCATCTGGTATTTGCATACATATACAAGCTGAGGGTGAAACCAGACTAAGAAAGCGAGTGCTTTTGAAAGCTATGGCGAGTTAGGGAGTCCCCACCCTTGGGAAGACCAGCAAGAGAAAGAGAGAATACGGGGATATGGTACTACTAAACCCAGATAAAGCCGATTACAATATATCCAATCTTATCCACAAAAACATAAGTGAAAGCAGCGCCAGGAAGTACAGCATGACTATGTATGCCTGAGAGCGAAGAGAAAGCGAGAGAGTCGTAAGGAGTGAAAGGAGATATTGAGGACATACAAAGTAGAATGAGATATGGACAGCGGGGTGGAAAGTGGTGCAGTCGTGTCTTTAAGAACCTGATAGACTCCTACAGGTAATGGGAGCCGTAAACCATAGTTAACCAAAAGACTGATATAATCGACTTATATAAGGCATATGGTGGAGGACTATATAAAATAGAAAGGCAGAGAAAATTGTGGATCGAAGAATAGCTAAAAGAGGGAGGTAAAGAGATGAAGTTTAACACACACACACACAGTAGATGGCCATGGTTATAAGAAAGCGAGACGCGATAGAAAAGGTGCTAAAAAAAACTGGGACGTGTAGCCAGAATTAAGGCTGACAGGAGTAAAACAGGTAGCGGTTAATGACCTCTTTATGGCACCTCACTCCAGTAGCGGCCCCTGATAACGTTACCGTAACGGAATGTGTGTGTGGGAGAGAGAGAGAGAGAGAGAGAGAGAGAGAGAGAGAGAGAGAGAAAGAGTTCGCTTACCTCTATAAAGACTTGATGATGCTGACATGACTGTGTTGCTTATCAGGTAGGAATTTGATAATAAAGTAAAGGTGATTACTGTGATAATAATTACCAAAGCGCTGGAAGTTCACTTACTAAGATCTTATTGTAAGCTTCTGAGAGCATATCTATGACAATTGGAATTTTACGGATGACATGACATTGTTTTTGAGAAAGAGTCATCACCACAAGACATGTAATAATTTATAAAGGTGGGATATCGAGCATTACTTACTAAAAGTTTTGTGATGATGATGATCATAATATATACAGTTCATTGTACCATTACCAAAAGAATACAACATTCAAACATCAACTTAAGGTTAACAGTTCATTATAAGAGAATGTTTTATTTGGGGATACTAATAATAATAACAATAGCTGAATGAAAAAAAAAAAAAAAGGTTCTCACTGACACAGGATTAATCGATTCTTATAAGTTATTAATCTTCAGTTATTTCTCATTTTTTCTTTCCTGGTTGCATCACTCTGACTTTAAACACTAATTCTAATTCACTTACTAACTCGGTCCCTCAATCACTTGGTCACAAAAAAATATTGGTTAACAACGACCAGCCCGCGCTGACTCGGCTAATTACTGCATCTATCTCCCTTGTTTTACTAATTCTTAGGAGGTATTAGGAGCTCACTGGGGATATGTGATATCTTATTTATTGACTTATTTATGTACAATGCAAAGTCATCGTGAATAATTCATTTGTGCATTTATTTCTCATCTGTACATTCCCTATTGATTTATTCATGTATTTATTAATTTATTTATCTATCATTCATTTACGTTTTTTATAGATTTATAACTTCACTCAAATATTTATTCATTTTCTTATACCATCAATTTGTCCTGAATTGGCTTGGATATAAGCTTCTTAAACAATAGATAAGGATGAGCAGTGACTTGGGGTAGACGCAAACATAAAACTTAAGGCGGTATGTGTGTGTGTGTGTGTGTATGTTTATGGTGTACTTATGGGTTATAATCGCCTCAAAACATTTTATACTGAGTTTTAAGTTCATGCTACTTCATGTCTTTACCTACATATACAGTATACACACAGAATCCTAAACCAGTACCGAGCCAACATTGAACCCCTGATATGACTCCTCAAATCAAGGAAGTCAGTTGATTAGTGTAGATTGTGAATGGAGCCACACTGAGTTAATGGTAAGGTGTTATACAGGAAAGATAATGGTATGATTTATGGTGGGATAGAGTGCAAAGGCCGAGTGGATGCAACACTTATCTCTTGTCCTAAGGGCCGCTGGTTCAAACCTGGGGCACTCCCAATCCAACCTGCTGTAAATAAGTATCTAACTTTATAAAGTTTGAGAAGTGAAAGCGATCGAGTGCAGTTCTGGCCACTTTGTTTCCTTGTTATGACTAATAAGATTCATGGTGAGTCATGTAAAGTAATAGTGAACCGCTACATGACTGGCGACTTGTGGGAGATTCTTGGTGAAATATTGTAGAATAACTGTAAAATACACCCAGTTAATATTGACATGGTAAACTAATAGTGACTTATGGTAAAATAGACTAATGGTTACTTGTGGAACACTAATGATGATTTAAAGTATACAAAAAACAAACTGTATGAACGTAATTGTGACAATGTAGTAGATAAATAATACATAATCCCATGGAGAAATTAAAATACGAAAACCTTAATTTTGGGTGAGTGAATGGGACAGTGAGACGCAGTAGGCGATGCATAGGAAGCGTGTACAGTCCTCGATAAAGATATACGACTGAGCTGCAAGTCACGGGCCTCATATCCTACATCAAATTCCCCCACAGTGACCGCCAGGGAGCCGCTATATCCCACCTTCCACCTGATACTAACACTGTGTTCGACTTTCTCATCTGAGGGAACAAACCCAGAGCGTTAAAACGCCTTTATTTATCTGAATAAAACTGGTTGTAATCCTCAGGATCCACTAAAAAACAATATTGGCAAGCATTTCCTGGGAGGCTATTGGCTGCGGGTTTATGACCGGTTGAAGGAGCCAGCTGATTGGTTACCCACTGACCCAGATGGCACAGGGGGTCAGGTGTCGTTAAGAATTGTTTGTTTCAAAGCTTTATCTTGTATAATATATCCTTATCATCCATTTTGTAAGTATTTAATTTAATAAAGTTAATATAAACGACAGTATTAACTCAAAACAAAGGAATGAAATGTGAAAGTTGTGTTGAGTTGGACGGCAGCCCCGCGATCTGAAGCGCTGCGAACGCTTTCGACACAACAAAGACGGTTTGGCAACCCAGGTCACACAGTTTATAAAGGGAAGATCATATTCACCAGCGGATCAGTTTTGCTGTGTCCTTCACCTTGTGTTCTTTCGTATTTGAAGGCTGCACAACAAGCCTGAGCCTCCGAACTTGTCTCTACTGCGTCTAGGTTGTTCCGTGAGGTTCTTGGAAATTACTGAACAAAATGATCCATGTAAGTGTGTGTTTGGCTGTATAATCCAGTGTTTGTTGTAACAATGGAGGTTGTCGGTGATATTGTGATGCTCTATACAGTAGTTAATGCACTAACTGATAACAGGAATATGTCGGAGTGTTCTCAGCTGTGAAAGATGAGCTTGACTAATACTGTATATGGATACGAAAGTGAAGTAAAGAGAAAGCATCTCGACTCCTCGCGTCCCAATTGTATTGGAAGTTAGACGCCTGTAACATAGATCGTTCACTTGAGCACCATGTATATACTTTATCTGAAAACGAAGTAAAAATGTGATCTGTAAATTTGTAAAGAATTATTTTGGGGGCGAATTGTCGACTTTATTCTAGATTCCGATTTAACATTTGTTCTGCGGCGCATTTCAGTTTAATCTCGATTAAGAAAAATAATAAGAGTTTGTCGGTTATATATATCACGGTACCATAAAGACAGGTTATCACACGTACTCTGTAAAGCTGTACAGTACCTGAGGCACAATAGGTAGCATACAGCGTGAACATGAACTTAGATGACGTAATAGTCATACACATTGCTCTGTATAAGAGTTTATGCGATTGATTTGAAGGTAAGAACAGCAAGCGAGTACAGCAAACTCCGCAACTCTAGGCATCACTGAGACACCTGACCCTCGCTCCAGTTGGCGCGTCTGTAAATGGGAATCGTGACATACTTGCTCTACACAGCGTAATAATAACCAAAGAATATTATTTACTGAGGAAGCAAATATCACTACTGGGTGATGTACTGGAAGAGAAACTAGTAGCGGCTCAACCACCTCGGTACGTCATTTTTCGACAAGCTCCTGACGCAGAGGATTTCGGTAATCAGAACTTACTGAAATAATTTCAAGAGTTAAAATATACAACACTGATTTTGATATTGAACGTCTAAACGCATAATTTCGTGTTCCTTGTAACTCTGCAGTAATCAACACACCTTATCAATTTTCACGAAATATTTTCAAGTTCAACATTTGCAAAAAGTGCAGAGCCGTTTCAACAGCTGATATTATACAGAATCTTAAGTATCACATGATTCTTGCTCCTTTGATAATCTCTCCTAAAATAATTAGGCTTAAACTTGCCTTGAATTACCTTAAAATTCTGGTTCCTTGCCGACCAGAAGTACTGTGCAATCCTAGACGCTATGCAGTACATTCTGTGCTCGCCAGATGACCTTGAGGGACTGCTGGATCTTAGAGGTTCTGCTGACTCACGTTGTGAAGTCGTATGATCAGTGCTGGTCACACAAACCTTTATTTAACTGAAAGTATCGCCCATTTCTAGTTTTCAGCGAATTTTCAAGTAAGGTTAATATCTCAAAACTCGGCATATGTCGCCAGTAAAGAAGATTTACAAAAAATTTGGAGAAATATATTCAACAAGACTCCACATACCGAAAGTCGAAATCGTGAATGCTCTCGACCATCCCGGTTAAAATATTCGGACCCTGTATAATGACCACACTTGGAGGGCCAGACGATAGGTCACACAGCCTGTTTCAGAGGTAAATTAAAATCCGGCCGCCTAGAATTGAAAGGTTCAGCTTTACTTATAGAATAGTTTAATTATATTATGTACAAGATGAACCAAGATAATAGATTGTATTTTCATCCATATTTGCATTAACACATAGAACAAGTTTCATAATAGTATTTCAGACTAAGACAAAAATATTATTGATAAGTTCTCCTCAGCTGCAACAATGTGTGCAGTCTAAGTTTGATTTAGTTTACTATGTTTCCCGTCCAACTATAAAATAGAAGCATTGTTGTCTTTATTTGTTATATACACATTACTTTTACGTAAGAAATGAGAGTCATGTATCATGTATTTCTGGTCGAGAAGCAGTTAGTTTCACATTGGCTCAGTGGATTTTCGTGACACAATTTAGGTAGTGATTAGTTCAACCTCTAAACCCGAGCCAGAACACAACACCGTCAGCAGCACAGTAGGTTAGCCTTCACAAGGTCCGCGTATAAACCAGTTCCTCCACCAGCGTTCATCTCCAACATGACTCAAAACCAGCAGGCTTTGGTCCGCTGCCAAGGCGAACAACCTACATCCAGTCCTCAACTAGACGAGGCCCGAGAAAACATTGACCTCCTTAATACGCCCAGCAGGGCTATGGGCCAGCAGGTCGCTGACCCACACTTGGCCGCCAGCCCACCTCTTAACACGCTAACCTGAGGCTGGTCTTCAAAGTGTGGCTGTGCATGAAGTATTCGCTAAGAGGTGCTCCTCTTCCGAGCGAATCATTGTTAAAATATTATAACTTTACATATCGTTCAGAAAACGGGACTCGACTTTCTCACTCCACTACCTTCATCATATATTACATTCTTACACCTCAACTGCTCTTGTCAATCTCAATATTACACAGGTAATGAAGAAATCAATAGCTTCACGATACATAATTATACATGAATAAACAAGTGAAATTAGCTTTTTAATTCTCACCAACACTGAATAAAAGAGTTTGTCCAAAGAGTGAACTTAATGTCACCTTAAAAAAGGAAAGTCAGATCACTGATATTCCATAATTTTTGTTTATGCCTGTCACGATATAGGGATAATTACCGGCTAGTGATAACTTCTATGAATATATCTTTTGGAAACTTTTCACTGCGTACATATATATATGCAAGTATATCACTGTAAGTGCGCGTGATCTAGGTATATGCTGATAGCCACAAGGAAAGAAGAAGACACGAAGTTCCCAAGCGCTTTCGAGTAATTCACGTCTTCAGGGGTGAGTACAGACTAAGGAGAAGTACACAACAAGGTGTATATATACAGAGGAGGGTGAGATCAGGTCCACGATGGTCAGGTAATGACCCTACTAATCTTTAAATAGCACCGCAATGGTCGGTAGCCAGGTCAGAGGGTAAGGTGACCCAACCTTCTCACCTGGTTACAAGTCTTCTTAATTACAAAATTGTCCAGTTTGTACATGCCATTACTCAAATTCATGTTGAATGCTTCGGTATGTTTAATGAGACTAGATTCTATGATGTTCCTACAGTCAATTGAATTACAAGGTAATATTGAGGAGGCATTATCCCAGTGTTAGGACGGGCCAGGAATCCACGAGCCCATGACTGTGACCGGGGAACGCCACCTCTGGACCACCAGGATACTGAAAGCAGTCCTAGACTCTTTTATATTTCACACAAAGCCTGTTCAACGAGCTTATGGCGCCGTGAACCTCTAATGGAGACTACCCATATCACTTAAGTGGTCAGAGTAACGTGTTGATTGTATGTAGAAGTCCGCGTGTTTATTGGGCTAATGAAATATATATATATATATATATATATATATATATATATATATATATATATATATATATATATATATATATATATATATATATATATATATATATATATATATATATATATATATATATATATATATATATATATATATATATATATATATATATATATATATATATATATATATGTGTGTGTGTGTATGTGTGTGTAAATCATCAGCCTCCGTGTGTTAGTGACCCCATTGTTCAAGGTAACACGGATGTATCATGACCCGGGCAGGAACTGAAAGGAAGTTCCCACCGCAGTTCATGACAGACTGACAGATACTGCTCAGGGTCAGTGACTTAGTCACTGACACAGTCGTCTCCTAGAGAAAGCTTCCTGGCGTGAGCTATGTTATGGAAATGAAGTGGATGTGAAATCAGCTTGTGGAGTAAATGAAAGTGGGTCTCATAGGCATAACTGCCCGTTAGGAACAGTGTGGATACAACACAAAGTATAATACTAAGCCTTCGGTACACAAGGAGACAGCATGGCCGGTACTGCACTCACTTCCCCAAGTTGCAAACTTAGTTACCCAATTACAGCTGGGTGAACTGGGAGCCCTCGGGAATATAACCACCGGCCCCTGGAACAGGAGAGAGCTGTACCCACTTAACCGCCGCACTCCATATGGAATAAATAGGTTTGGACAAAAAAGTTAAGCGTCTTCCAACAAACGAATAAGCTCATTTCACGTTTAACAGTAGCCTTGGCTTGTTCTGCCCTCCTTCCCGCCTAATTCTTTTCTACAACGCATGAGTCCTCGTGGACCGTGTCCTCGAAATCTGGTGCCCTACTGTGAGTGAGACAGTAGTTGGTAGGACGGTCCGGGTAGTGTGGGGGACGTGACCCAAATCTTGGAGACGCCGCCTCATCCTGTGTGTCGACACACTGCCAGGGGCTCACTCCTCCCCCATTCCTGACTTCTACCCTCACGTTGCTCCTAAGGAAAGTTGTCAGAAAAGTGGGACAGGGGCTTAGATTTGAGAGGCGTAGTTGGGTAAAGGATTGCTTTTAAGGTATCCTTATTCGTCAGTAATAGGCAAGATAATAATTAGTTTTTTCTCTGTCTTTATGAAATGTTTAAAAAACCTTCATAGGACAGCGGCTAGTGGTGGCGCTCTAGTACAATACTGGAAGGTTCTCATGTCTTAGCATCCATACACTCACACAAACGGGAAAAGAATACACTTATTTATAGAACCGAAAATCAAAATCATATCACTATTGGGTAAATCTGTAAATAATAACACATGTTATTCAATGTAGGTCATGATACTATGTCATGATCATCTATTGACAATAAATCATGGCGGATTGCATGTACTCTGAATCATGAGAGAGTTTAAGGGCTGTGTTTCCTGACAAATATCTATTGGTTCTAAGAGGAAACACCTGGAATCAATGCCAGGTAAATCTTCAAGCAGGATGCTGCCTAGACTAGGACCGTGGCCGTTAAAATGCGGAAGAAACACAACAGGCGTAAAAAAAATACCCTCTCTCTCTCTCTGTTTCTACAATAACTGTGCTGCCATGAAAGTGTTTTAAAGAAACTCTACTCATTCATAGGGTATAAAGTATTTACTGTTAACGGAATTATGTTGAACACAATCTGGGGTATAGATTTTATTCAAATAAGAGAACTAAATTCAAACATTTAGATATTTCAGAATTTACTAAAATCAGGATCAGTGAGATGAACGCATTATTCCCAACGTGAATTTCTGTGTTACCTTTGTAGCTTTCATTGAACTGGACATATAGAAATTGTGAAAACGTTAGATGTGTGTTGATTGTTTTTCTATTGTGGAGCTGTACTTTCGTCTTTGGGTAGTTTAGAAGACTGATAGTTTGAAATAATAATTATTATTATTATTACTGCGTTGTTCACATTTTCAATTAATCTTCTGCCGATTCTAAATATACAACATTGACAACATATCCAACATTACGGATTGGTGAACGAAAGAATTTTGTGCTCGGGTGACATAAACTATCACTAAACTCAGAGCGCAGCAGGCTGAGGATAATGTTCACATCCAGTGTTTCTCAAATAATTGTAGGTCTATTCTCGTACTAACAAGAAATGTGATAACTTATGCAACTCTCAATTACTTTAGGATAAAAATTACATTAAAACAAAGTTCGAATCCACAGATACTAGATGAGTCTTCTGAGCCCTAGTTTAAGGTGAAAAATTTAATGTATTGATATTAAGATTCTGAACTCGGTCTGCTGCCATCTGCGTGTTGCGCTCCACCACACGCTCACACCGGTGGAGCAAAGCCACTTATGTGAAGGAGTGGAGGGAGCCACCCCCCCACCACACCACATTTCTACCTGGACAGGGGTGGGGGGTGTGGGGTCGTAGCCTGGGGGGAGTTCACACACCCGGCTGGCTACTTACTTTCTCTTCTATTTGTGGAGTTAACTTTCTCTAGACTTTCTCTGCCCAACTGGATTCTTTCCTGTATTACAAACTCTCTCTTTTCATTACACATTCACATGCGCATATATATATATATATATATATATATATATATATATATATATATATATATATATATATATATATATATATATATATATATATATATATATATATATATATATATATATATATATATATATATATATATATATATATATATATATATATATATATATATATATATATATAATGGAAAAGTGGACAAGATAAATCTCGATAAAATCACACAAGAAAGGAGAAACAGTGAAGCACTTAATTTTCGTCTTCAGAGGCAACTGAATTTACAGGGACTGAGAGGTTTATATACAAAGGGTGACCTTACAAAATATCATGACAGGTCAATAACATGGGATCCACTCATCCACACACCACCTCCACACGAAAGGAGAGATTATCAAAATGTGCGACGTAACAAGTCAAGTCAAGGTGGGTCAAAAACATGAGATCCACTAGTCATCTTACCTACATCTACCTCAAATGCTTTCAAATTATTTATTACTTGGGCCACTGAGAAATAAATTTATGTAACATATCAGTTTTGTACTGACCATCACACTCGGCTGCAACTAGAATTTTATTTTATTTAGTTCGAGAATTTTTCTTATACTGCATCTAATAATTCCTGTGTTGAATAATCGTTGTAGAAGGTCTTTGTTTCCTCCTTGATGTATAAAGAACAATAAATGGTGATAACATCTTATATCTTCCCATCATTTCTTCCTCCCTTGATTCACATCTACTTGTCAAGACAACTCTCAATATTTTGACCTCTTTATTTTCTAATTCAAATAGTTGGCGGTTCTATTTTCTTGTAATACCAAAATGAACAGCTTCAGGGGCTCTAACTGAGTACAACATAGTCAAGGGCTAGTGAACGAAGGTAACTGAAGAGGTTAAGAGGTACCCACATTGTTCACCTTGGTAAAGACAGAAATATTTACATGATAGAAAGAATTTCTTTCTACCTGGTAACAAAACAAATTGCTGTGTCTAGTGAGTTGCTTGTCTGCTTAGAAAAGAGAGAGCTGGAATGAAATCGGAGGCAGGTTGATACGAGAAAATCACAAAAACTTGACACGCGGGTGACAAAAAAAAATACAGGCTAGCCTATACAGAAATGACCCACTTTCTTCAGCGCATCACAATGCTATTTACACTGAAGCTGCCGATTCATCCTCGTTGCTGTTATAATATTATTACTGCGCATCAGCAACAAAGGTTACCCAAGAGAGCTAAACGGATACGTTCTCTTCAATGACTCGCTTTCATAATAATAGAAAACAAAAAAATTTAAAATATTTTTTGGGGAAACTTAAATAATTTAAAGAACACTGACCCTTATGTACAAGTATTTTCCATTTAGTAATTATATACTTTATGAGAGGTTTGCATGATACTGCAAATCAAGCAATAATTAAGCTCAGTAAGAAGTAAATTGAAATAGTTTGGTACTTTTGAAACATGTAATAATTAATTTTAAGTATATAATAATATTCTTCTACTAAGGGCGTAGCTTAAAGGGTAGGAGGAGTGAGGGCAACTGCAGCTCATGATCGGAAAATATATCTGGTCCAGTCGGAAATCTAGAACTGTTTGTAAAATTAAAATTGCGATAAAGGAGAGAGGGAGATAATTCTCGGGATTGTTGCTCTAGAATACTCATTAAAGAAATAATAATATTATTATTAGTTTTTAGTTCAATATGTCACACTTTAATGCTGTTGTCCAGTCTATTCATTAGTAATGAATTAGCCTCTACTAGCGAATTTAGGTCAATAATATTCATTTAGACAGAGCCCATCCACCTTCCCCGTACCATAGACTTTTTCTGTAATCGTGCCTCTGCATCTGCTTACTTCCCTGTTTCTTTTGCATTCAATTTTTCTCTTCTAATTCTTTCTTATTTGTCCTCTTTTCGCCCATCCTCTCTCCCTTTCATGCTTATATTTCTACCTCTCATGGCGCACTTTTTTGTATTGTTCCTCACAACTTGATGGGTAGTGTTTCTCCTCCCACCTCAGCTTTCTTAAGGGGAAGTTTAACCCAAAGTTTTTTGTAACAGTCTTCAAGTCTCCACTCACTGAATAGCTTCCGTTTTCAAACTCAAATTGGAGGCGAATTTCTTGGTTCCTCTGAACTCCAGCACTCTTATTATTTTCATTTAAGGGAACTTGGTATTCTGAACGTTCTTCATATTTATTTTACTCATTGCTGACATCAGCACCTAAATTTGATCGTTTGACTGTTGCTGTTTTGCTTCTCCATTCGAAATTATCAAAATCTGGAGAACTCCAAAAGAACCACTTTATAGGGTTAGTATCCTACATAGTTAAAATTATGAGAGACAGGTTGACGTAGAACGAAATTTTTCACCGTCTTAATGACAATTACAGTCGGGTAGAACTGTATGCTAAAATTATTTCTCCTGACCACCACCACCACCTTGCCGAGGTAGACTAAAATACCTTGTAAAGTAGAAACTGTCATAGTCATAATGGTTAATGTTTTTCTATATTTAAAGTTCACTTCTTTTGAGAGTACCCAACATTTAGGAAAGATAGCCAACAATAAGAAGCTAACTAACCCACCGAGAGCATGTTTTCACCTGTCAGCTCCACCAGTGATACCGAAAGCAGTTGACCATCGTTTCCATTGAAGAGTTTCTGTATGTCTTGATCACCCTTGTCTGTATCATTAAGTTACTAGGCGACGTTCTCCATCTCAAGGTTATATAGGAAACTTTTTTTTAACTTTCTTCTTGACTCGTACTCAGATATTTATTGATAGGTTTCAAGTTATATACAAAATATCCTCTTTCGTAACATAAATATTGTGATTATGGTAATTGAAAGTGGTGCATTATATCATATTTGGTTTCAGACATTTCATGAATATCACAATAAAACCGGCAATTTAATTTCCTTTCTCAAACAGCAAAGATATCCAGGGAATTTTGAATTGGGTTTCAAATAACTACAGAACGTCTCCAGACAAGTGTTCAGATTCTTCCTATTTGATAACATCGCAGATGTCGGTCATGGGAAAAATTTGTGTCCTTGATTATATGTTCAAAGTCCGCGTGTTATATGGACTAAAAATGAAGTACATATGGTACCTCGTGTTTCATACCAGCTGGATTCGGTAAAATGCTACTGACATCCACATAAGCAGCACGGGCAGTTCCCAATGGGAGGTTCACGGCGCCATCAGCTCGATGAACAGGCTTTGTGTGAAATATAACACAGTTTAGAACTGCTTTTAGTGCTCTTGTGGTATGGTCGGTAACGCTACCTAGTCCCACGCAGTAGGTCGAGGGTTTGAGTCCTGGCTGGTGAGGTAGTTGATTATATGTTCAAAGTCCGCGTGTTATATGGACTAAAAATGAAATATATATATATATATATATATATATATATATATATATATATATATATATATATATATATATATATATATATATACGTGTGTGGTTCAGTAGTATGGTGTTCTACGTACTTAAGTCATTTTACATCATATATCTTCATCATGCAATCTCTCATTTTCTCCAGAGGAGACTGCTGGTGGTCGCGGGCGTTCTGGCGTACCTGGGCGTGGGAGTAATGACAGTAGACCCACCCGTCAACCCCTGGCAGGCCATCAACCCCGCGCTTGGAGAGAACACTCCCTATGACGCCCTTCAGACTAACCCAGATGTCGAACCAACCTACGCTGAGACCGACAGTAACACCGACCTGACACCTGAAGAAGAGGCACTTATCTCCGAATTACCCTTTAAGTTACCTTTCAAGATGGACAAGAAACAGTTGGCTGTGGCTATGAAGCTCCTGAAGGCGGCGATCAAACCCGTCATCAAGAGCAAGACGCTGCGAGAGACGGTGGCTTACCTGGACGCTCTGTTTGGCTTTTATAGCGAAGATTTGGAAGCACAGATGTACATGACCCTCCTGCTGGACTCTCTGCAGGACATGTACGAGGGCAAGGAGGCAGCTCAGTTGCACAAGTTAATGAAGGGCTTTTTCACTGACATTACCGGTGACGAGGTGAGTAAACTCCTGGGCGGTGAAGAGGCTGGTCGAGTGGTGGTGAAGCAAGTTGGGGTTCTGGTGAAGCAAGTTAGGGTTCTGGTGACGCAAGTTAGGGTTCTGGTGAGGCAAGTCAAGTGGTGATAAGGCTAGCTGAGTGATGGAGGAGAAAGGGAGAAATGATAGAGAAAAGAGATTGGTTGGTGTAGCCAATGAAGGAACGATGGAACAATTATTGGATTGATGGTAGAGGATATCAGAGGTTGCTGGAATAACTAAAGTAGCAGCGGAATGCCTTCAGTGAACAACCGGTATATAGATAAAATAGTAGGCAAGTGATGGTATAAAACGCTGGTAAGACTATTTACTTGAGCACAGTGGCGGAGATTACAAGGAGTTGGAAAAGGGATTACAGACCTTAGTTAGTAGTGGTAGTAAGTATGGCAAGAAAATGACAGCTTGACAGTTGTAGTGTCACTTGTCCATTCTTAACCAGGTCGGAGTTATACCATGATAAGGTTATATCTCGTTTAAGTGTGTCAGTCAAACTTGTTGGTCATCAAACCTATGACAGAAACATATCTATAGTATTTACATATTACGGTACAATTAAGTTACTAAGTACCAAAATCTTCTTATACTTTGATACCACAATGCAAACATTGTAACTCGCCTCCACCACAGACACACACGTCATAATTGCTTTACTTGGCAGGCTACCGCTCGCTCCATCGACGACATGTGGAGGTCAACACTGGAGCTGATGTACGACCCCGTCAAGGATTACTTCTTCCGCCCTGTCAACAACTACCTGGTGGAGCCGATCAGCAGCGCCGTCTCTGGCTTCGCTGAGCGTATCGGCAAATGGATGGGTGGCAACAGCAACACGAAACACTACGTCAATGTGCAGTATCCTGAGTCTTACTCCAGGTGACGACTACTCGTGTGTGGGGGGGGAGGGGGAGGATTTTTTTTACTAACGATTGTGCACTTATTTGTTAAGAGACGGAATGCTGATCCTTGGGGTTCTTTTGTGTTAGAGAGACTCAGGTGTATGGGTGAATGTTTGAGTGCCATACTGTGCTCGTGTGGACGCATGAGTTCGTACTATATATGTATTGTTTACATGTCATATGTGCTAGTATTTGTGTGTATTTTTATGTTCAAATATCTGTGTATGCATGTGCATGGAGATCTGTGTGTTCTTATGAATATACGAGTATATACTGTCTTTGTCACTTCTCAGAAATTCAGCCGCTTGTGGTAATGTTCACCTATACAGGAACAAACTCCTTCAGTAACTTCACTTAAGCCATACCGAGATGCTCATCATTAATAAGAGATGACATTAACTTCATACAGGTTTATAGAGGTGGATGATGTGTACAGTTACCCACAGGTACGGTACAGTGTTCCATGAGCAGAAGAGTAAAAGATGTCGAATCATCTTCATAATTATTTAATTAATTTATTACACCCCAGGGGGCGACAAGCCTAGTCACAAGACCATGCGTCATACACTAAATACACTGGCACTCGTGTCTCGCAGGACACACTATGACTTGTGATATGGAGATATTTGTGGTGAGTTGAAGACAATGGGAGTGAGCACCCACCAAAGCGTGGGTAGCGTACGAGAATTATATCCAGATTATTACGTATAAGTAGGTGGTGACATATAGTGGTCAGTGACTCTTCCTGTGGTCGGAGGTCCCTGACAGGGGAACAGTCAAGGCAATAGTGTTGAAGGGTGTTAGCGTTGGGACAGTTACAGAGTTTACAGGAAGAGAAGTGCGGATCATCCCCCACCTCAGGTACTTGCCAGATAGGTCTGTATCCTAACCTAATGCGTGCAGAGACAACATCATGCCTGCTTACCATAAGTCCACATCGACGATACTTATGTGGATACGGAAGAAAATGATCATAGTGTTGGATAGATACACTCTCAGCCCGTTCACTATCCCTGCGATGGGTTGTAGGGAGGAGAGCAGCTGAACGTATTCTCTTTCGGTAACAGGAGAGAGGGTGTAACCCCATCACCAGGGAGGGCCAGTCCACAGGCATTCTTAGCTAGAAGGTCAACAGTGTCATTGTTTGCTATTCCTACATGAGATGGAATCCACAAAAAATGGATAACAAAAGAATTATCATAGGCTACAGCTTCATCTTAATAAACAAAATTACAATATAATTGTATGTCATTCACTTTGAGTTACACATAAAACCAGTGAGTTTTGTAAACATTTACAGGTAACCCCCATCGCTTTGTTTCACACGGCTGTGTACATCATTCCAGCCAATTGGTTCAGAGGGGATGCTGTTGATCATCGCAGAAGTATTATATACATCAGTCGTCTAGATTCTAGAGAATAATGGATTTGGTTCACAGGTGGAGCGAAACGGTGAGTTCTTACGCCAACCGACTGTCAGACTGGACTGCTCAGGCTCGTCAAGGTCTGGAGATGGCTGCCAGGATGCTGGAGGCACAGGACATGGCTCGCTCCTGCTCTGGTAACTGTCAAACCCAAGTAGCCGCCGATGACAGCACCCACGCTCTCAAGGTAAGACGAGGAACACGGTATAGAGTGGAAGGGTGAGAAACAGTGTGGAGTGGAAGGGTGATGGACACGGCATAAAAGTGAAAGGGTGAGGAACACACACACACACACACACACACACACACACACACGTGCGCGCGCGCTCAAGCACAAACACACAAACACACGGAGGGTAACGGTGTGTAGTGTGACGCGCCTGGTGGAAGATTGGTCCGGCAGTAAAGGAGAGAACGGGGGAGGGGGGTGATATACTGGGACGGGATGTGTACTGCTGTGTTCTCGCATGATATGACATAGTTTCTTTAAGTTATATTAAATTCCTCACATTGAATGATAATTTAAACACCCCTAAAATGCTTAAGTAAAATAAATCTAAATTAAATAGATACGTTAAACTAATATTACCTAAGATGTTTGTTAAACTCTAAATAATTTACAATAATTAAACAAAATAGCCTATAATATAAATAATATAGAAACTTTAGTGCATGAAATTAATTATTTTTAAGTTTCAGCTCTGAAAACCCTTTCTTCCTCTACAAATTTAATTAGACACTTTTATGAGCTTTAATTAAAACGCCAGCTTTTCATAAACGTATTTCAGTCTCCTTAAGACCCACAGTCTTGTGAGATGTGTGAAATCTGCCACCGCCTAGTGTGGCCTCAGAAGTAGTTTATTGGTAATGAACTGTCAATAAGAAATAGTTGATGTAGATAATAACTATTTAAACACTATCCTTTTTCATTTAGTCCATATAGCACGCGGACTTTCAACATATAATCAACGACCTCACCAGCCAGGACTCAAACCCTCGACCTTATGCGTGTAACCAGGGATTGCTACCACCTTGCCACAAGGACACTAAAGGCAATCCTAGACTTTGTTATATTTCACACAAAGCCTGTTCATCGAGCTGGTGGTGCCTTGATAGCAATCCCTGGTCACACGCATAAGGTCGAGGGTTCGAGTCCTGGCTGGTGAGGTCGTTGATTATATATATATATATATATATATATATATATATATATTTATTTATTTATTTATATTTATATTTATATTTATATTTATATTTATATTTCATTAGCCCAATAAAGCACGCGGACTTCTACATACAATCAACACCTCAACCCGCCAGGATTCGAACCCACGGCCCACGAGCCCATGATAGAGGTAGTGTTCCCCGGTCACAGTCATGGGCTCGTGGGCCGTGGGCTCGAATCCTGGCGGGTTGAGGTGTTGATTGTATATACAGGGTGTCCCATAAATTTCCATACATAGGAAAAATAAATTTCATATGAAAATCCATTTTTATTTATATAATATGCTCTACATGACTACCATTCTGTTGAAAACACTCTTCAACGCGTGTCCTCCACTGCTGAAGAACACGTTCAAGCACAGCTGGAGTTATGCTTGTAATGGCGTTGGTGATACGTTGTATGGAAACTTGTGGGACACCCTGTATATATATATATATATATATATATATATATATATATATATATATATATATATATATATATATATATATATATATATATATATATATATATATATATATATATATATATATTAGGAATGTTCTTTGAAATTAAAGATTTCATTAAAAGCCCTTCTTAAACTCCCATTCCAGGTCTTTTAAACAAAATTATTAAACATTAACTAATATTTGTTTACAATACCTTGGCCTTCGAGAGCCAACGGGTGAGTATGTCGAGGAATCAACTCCCAGGATGTCTTTAGGTAGCTTCCTGTGCTCTACCACTCCCACACGACAACAACTACACTCTACTCCCAGCATCACCGACTGCCTCACTCAAGCAGCTTCTGATGCTGGTGTGGACTCAACACTTCCATCCTCTTTCTTCCAGAGACAAATATTTCTTCATTATCTTTCCATTTCCACCTTGTTGTCTGTCCATTTCTGTAGGCTCAACTGGTTCTCATTCTTCATCATTAGTGAAGCCAAACTTCCAGGACTTATACATTACATTATGGAAGCAGTGTAAGGCGGCTGTCACAGCATAGAATTAAATTATTACCATGACAGGTATTGGACCTGACGTGGCTGGCGTGGTTGAGCGGAGGTCTCTTGCTGGTGCTGGCCGCAGGTATAGTCGCTCCCGCAATTGCAATTCCCTTGGGAATCGCAATTCCCCTGGGCATTGATGGCACGGGTTTCACGGGAACTGGCACTGGTTTCACGGGTACTGGCACTGGTTTTACTTCGCCTGTGTTCGTGCCTGTGCCCGGAGTTGCACCAACACCCGGATTTGGGACTGCACCTGCATTTGCGACCGCAGGTGGACCCGCATTTGCAACAGTAGGCGGACCTGCATTTCCAACAGCAGGAGGACCTGGAGCCGGACCTGCATTTCCAACAGCAGGCGGACCTGGAGCCGGACCTGCATTTCCAACAGCAGGCGGACCTGGAGTCGGACCTGCTTTTTCAACAGCAGGAGGACCTGGAGCCGGACCTGCATTTCCAACAGCAGGCGGACCTGGAGCCGGACCTGCATTTTCAACAGCAGGCGGACCTGGAGTCGGACCTGCTTTTTCAACAGCAGGAGGACCTGGAGCCGGACCTGCATTTCCAACAGCAGGCGGACCTGGAGCCGGACCTGCATTTCCAACAGCAGGCGGACCTGGAGCCGGACCTGCATTTCCAACAGCAGGCAGACCTGGAGTCGGACCTACATTTCCAACAGCTGGAGGACCTGGAGCCGGACCTGCATTTGTGACTGCAGGAAGAATTGGACGCAGTCCTGCATTTATGACTGCAGGCAGGCATATATCATCACAAGAAAACGGAGATTCTGGACTTCCTGTGGTCTCTAACACTCAGCCTCACAAAACCCATCCTTCCCTCTCCCCCTACGACCATCTCAGCCACACTGTTGAGACTGATTATTCCAATTTGGAATCAAGGTGTGTTTAACACAAGCCCCTCCAACCTACCTCCTTGCATCCTGAATATGATATCCTAACACCACAAGTTGTCTCACTCCTGTTGCTCCATACCCACCAAGCTTCTCTCCCTTTTTCCCAATAATCAACTGACCTGTATATATTTATATCTCTATCTCGCATTCTCTTTCACCCATTCAATTTTACTAAGTTTATTCTCATCTGTCTTCACATATCCAAGATAATTCGAATTTACGTTCAGTTTTCCTCCATAGTTTCGTAAGTCAAAATAAGTTCAGTTCAGGTCACATCATAGGCCAGCCAAACTGAAAATCCCCTTCCATAAACAAGCTTTAGTTCACATTGTATACTTCCGTTTTGGTCCCATTTATTCTTTTCTCACTTGCAACATACCAACAACACCCAAACTACTCCCCAGTGCAAGAGTTTAACCCAAGCAATACGTATCTTAAAAAAAAAAAAACATTTAATAAAAGACTTTAAAGCCTGTTTGTAAAATGAAAAGAAAAACCAATAGCAGAACATTGACCTTTGTTTTTGACATCAATATTCTTTACTTCTACCTCCACCCAAGTGTGAGGTTTTTTTTTTAGTTCTCATCTTCTTATCCCTGATCATATCTAATCTTATTATTGACTTTTCTCAATTTCTTTCATCTTTTTTCCTGATGTCACCACATCCTGTTCCTAGTTTCGCACATCCTGCATCCTGTCCCAGTATTTGCATAGTTGCCAGTACTTGTGTTTAATTGTGTAGTCTGTGTTTCGCACCTTTGCCATGATGGGTTGTCGAGGAAATGACATCTCTATCTCAGATAACATGATTTGTGACCTCAGATCAGCAGCATCAGTGACCCTCATATGATCAGTGACCTAATATGCTTCAGTCAAGATCAAAGGAAGAACTATAGATCAGAACAGGTGACCAAACACCTCTACTTTCTCGACACCCTCACATGGCCTTGGCTAGTAAATGCCAATGTTCACCGTATGTCCGTTTATCTCTTTGTCTGTCTGTCTCGGTCTGTGTCTACCAGTTACAGTAGTCTGTTTATCATTGTTTGTCCGTCTAGCTCGCCTCATTTAGTTGTATTTGTTTCTCTATCTCTGTCCCATCTACCGGTACATGCATATATCCTACTTATGACTGTAAAAATCGTTCTAGTATTCAATCTATATGTCAATCTTTCTTTACATCTATATAACTATCTATACATCTTCTCCATCTGTCCTCTTTCTTATGAATAATCTATCTTCATATCTGTTTATTTGTGGATCTGACTATATACCTAACTGTCAATTTCTATACTTATCCATTAAATTCTTCCTTTATCAAACTATCCTCCATTCTCTTTATTTATCGATCTATCCACTGAACTAACTATTTGTATCTTCATTTCAAAACTCGAAAATTAGCTCTACCTCTGGTTTTTGTCTTAGCTCTCTCCTCTTGCCCTTGTGAGCCCCAGGAGCCATTCTTTAAGCTGTTATAAAACGGGATCTTGTTCACGACTCCGGATGGACTGACATGAAGAACTAACTCCGACCACTGAACTGACTGACCAAACCACCAGCATACATCGAACCATTTCCCGACTCCTCGACCTCTGACCGACCGAACCCTTGTGACTTGTGAAATAAGCAGAGACTGTCGATACTGTCTGACTGTCTTCAGGACGAATTTTTTGCTCCTCAAATTTAGCTTGTAATATTTCAAAGCGGTGTTAGAGATATTATGAAAAATGAGGTTTGTTCTAAATCAAAGCACGTATCGGGTTATTCATTATCAACTACCGTGCATGTGTCCTAAAGATGGACCCACGAACATCAATATCAGACCACAACTGACTCAACGCATCCAATGGTACACTGTTGATGGTTGTTGTTATCTTGTTTCAGAGACTGCAATCTGACCACCCCCTTAGAGCAAACAATTGGCATTCACTCACTCTCATAGAAAAAAAGTCGATTAGCTTCAAATCCAGCGACTTTGGCACGCTATTTTAATTCAACGATCAGGGTTTTGTCTTTGGAAAGTTTCTCCTGGTTCCCTTCAGTTTTTCATACAGCGTTGTGATTCTCTTACAAGCTGGCGTTTCCTTCAAATACACACACTTGAAATTTACAGTGAAAAGTGTTAAGGGATATAAGTTAAGCAAATCACAACAAACACCGTACTTTCTCTTGGGTAGTCAATGCACACTCGCTCCTGGGGGTGAAAGTCTTAAGTATCGTGTTTTACCTTAAAGCAAACCTCGTTATTTCATCTCTCACCTATGACTAAATATTACATGTTAAATTCACTAAGACTATTGGTGGAAACTGACGATGACGACACTGATAGACGTAGCTGCCTTTATCTCTTTTTATCAAATTTTCTTCAGTTTTTGGATTAGCAATTCTTGTTTCAATTTGAACAATAGTTACAGACTTTATTATATAGTTATGTATTACTTCTCTTGACTGTTTCATATCTTTCTGGTAGTCAAAGACCAGCTGTGATCTTCATCAAAGTTGTATTGACTGACAGACATTAACACTCACGATCACTTGAGGCCGTGGCTGCCGCCGACTTTCGTGTTAACTGTCTCAGCCAACGACGTGACACTGTGACACGACTGATAACCAGCCATACCTGACTGTACCAAATGACTATTATTTCTTTAGTAACTGTGCTCTACTGACTGACCACTCATTCACAAAGACTTATGTACCGCTGCAAACAAAATCCTTCGACACCTCTGGCATTATCTGGCATTTACTTTGGGGTCACATAAGTAAGGAAGATTGGCATTCTATCATTTATTATCGAATTCACTGACTGAGACAACATTTAGATCACCGTGTCATCACCACCTTAACACCATACTGTAGTATCACAAACGCACTTACATAAAATTAAGAGAATATTTCAATATTCTACTGACAAGAGTCAACATAAAATTTTAATAAAGATATGACGTTGATACCACAAAGAAATGTATTTCACATTTGCGTATAGACATTTAGTGTGATGTCTCTGATAACAATACATTTTTACATTTATAACATGAAACCCAAAGTAAATCATGTTTGACTATAATTAACCAAGAGAGATAGTCAAATGGAGACTCTTTAACCACTCAGGTAATCGAAGTTTTTTTTTCAAGTTAACCAAATTTTTATAGTAAATAATAGTGAGCTTTGTCTAATTAAGTGTGGCCACCTTGATCTATGTGCTCTGCTCTCAGCCGCTTGTATCATTTCGAAAAATAAGTCACTACGTCCAGACCATCATCACCCAGTCTACACACAAACTCACATAAGCCAAGCAATTACTGCACTAGTTTACCTTCTATAGTCTTTCTCTGTCAGTCAATGTTATGTTTTACTGCTTCACTTTTTTTTAATACCTAACAAAGTTTACCAATCCAATTTGAGTACTTGTGAGTTCCTTTGTTCGTTGTTTGTGCGTTAGTTTTAGTTCGTGTTGATGTGTGCCTTGTCCGTCCTGTGTATCGTTTGTGCTCTTCCTTGTCTCGACTTTTGTTTGTGATATTTTGGCTTGGTGTTAGTTTTTAACGTCCCTGTCCAGCGGCTGATTGTGTAAGTTTAACTTTTCTTTATCTATGTAAATATATTAGTGAAGTAGTATGTACGACTATGTTTTAAGGTGATAATCTGAAGAAAAAAATTATAACGAACAAATCATCACAAATCCGTGTTTCTAAGAATGCACTCATACCTACACATAAACATATATCAATTGGCATACACACACACACACACACACACACACACACACACACACACACATGAAAACATATTGCTTGGAAGAGGACAAAATAACATGCAAAAATATTCCTATTTGTGGTAGCACAATGGTTTTCTGATGTGTTCCACACTGCGACCTACTTTCATATGAGCTGTAACTTGAAGCGGAATTCATTCATTGACGTACAGACCTAGTAACAAATACCAGCCCACATTGCAGGTAGCTTACAGAAGAACTGCCACAGGATAATTTCTAAATTTTTGTGAAGCAGCCACATTGTTGTGGAAGTCTTATTGTTAAACAAAATTGCATTTTCTTACCTTTACAGTAACAGAATGAAAGTAAGATTTCAATTCATTAGACTTCTCTTAATATACAGTATATACAGTATATACAGTATATATATATATATATATATATATATATATATATATATATATATATATATATATATATATATATATATATATATATATATATATGAAGTAAATCACTGTAGGTGCGGTGATCTAGGTATATGTACAGGAAAGAAGAAAACACGAAAGCGCTTGGGAACTTCGTGTTTTCTTCTTTCTTGTGGTTATCAGCATATATATATATATATATATATATATATATATATATATATATATATATATATATATATATATATATATATATATATATTAGGTCAGGTATGATTAGGTTACTGTAGGTTAAGTAGGTAAGTAATGGTGTGCTTCATTAAAAATTTTCTTATGTTTTACAAATATCCTATTTAGCGCGATATTGTACGTATATAAAATTTTTTAATATTTCGATTATTACCTATACGTAGCCTTGTTGCATATTACTGTATGTGTTAAACTTTCCGTGTCTATTGCCTGTATATCGTGGTGTTATGTGACGTGCAATAATCATCTGTTACTCCTGTATGTGTTTGTAAATCTGTTTTCGTCTTTGTCTTGTAAGTATGTTTGTGTACAGTATGTCGACGTCGCTGTTATTATAGCTTATTGCACGACTGTTGTACTTTATACTTCAAAGTACACGTTTTACTGACTTAAACACACGGATAGACAAGTACACCCGTGCATACACACGTTGGCAAAATGAAAACAGACACACATACATCCTAACGTAACAAGTTATCAAACACACTTACACAGTCACAACTTGTGTATACAGTGTGTGTGTGTGTGTGTGTACATATAGATCACACAATTGTCTGACGAATATAAAAAATTTAGGACAAATCCCAAAATTAACAGTTGCATTTACCCAGTTACACACTCGTCAATGCCGTGTAAAACTACCATGATGTTCAACATTACAACAACATTATGCATGAGGTAAGGGTAGGGAGGTGTCTGCGATCTCCCTGAAGCCTCTACTCTCTACATACCTCACCGCCGGAAGACAACTCCATAACCTAACAATAACCATAAGCTGCCAGAGTGGTGGTGCAGTTGCCGGGGTTTTACCTCGTGCTTGCAGCACACTGCTTGGCTCTAACACTCGAGTTACTACCACCTACACCTACATGCTGAAGTATCATGTTAAGAACTCATGTGCCGTTTGTGTAAGTGCATGAGGAATAGTGGGGTTGTGGTCACACCACAGGCTAAGTTCACTGTATATATTATGCTTTGTGATCAATTTGCAAAAATGTACATAACGTTTTATTAATACTATCTCTAGTTTTGAACATAAAATATTATGCTTCTATATTCTTGAATGAATGAGTTATTAATTTTTTTTTTTTTTTACAAAATTAAGGCTTTTATAAACCAGTATATATAAACGCATTATAAGAAATGATATATAAATTCACTTGACATTCACTTTAGTGATACATAATACCAGTTGTAAACTAAAAGCCACATCTTATATTTATTATATTTTATCAATATAGATTAATGCTGTTGTTGATGATAAATTATTATTTCTGAGCTTTCTTTTTTTTACAGTAACACCCACGTTAAGTTTGGCGACAACGATGTCTACAAGTACTACACCAAACACAGGTCTCCGTGAAGCAGCGCGCCCGCTCCATCTCCCCACGTGGAGTGAACCCAAATAATTATCATCTCGTAGTCACAGCCTCTGGTGAGGTTCCAGCTGGTTCTGGAATACTTACATCTCTTTACAATCAAAGCCTAAAATTTCTAAAGTTACCATATCCTACAAACATGTAGAAAAGCCTTAAGACTTTCACATAATGAGTCTAACAATGGTTCAATGACCCTTAATTTGATTAACACAACATTTCAAATTATTGTATTTAAATTTCAAGATGGATGTCGAATTTTGCTTTTGGTATTCACCTCATTTCTCTCTCATCTTTTGTCCCGTTATCAATTTTTGCCGGGTAAATTTAGTCTTCGTTATTTTTGTTTTTATTAATGGTCATTATTTGACGCTAAATCCCTCTCATTTACAATAGTTTAAGCTTAATTGAACCACTGGCCAGCTTTTCTTGCATAGCTGCAGGTTTCAGCTCACCTTTCTTCTCTCGATTTTTGCAATCATCGTCCCTTTCAGTTAATCAGACTATCAGAATGTGAGGTGATACATTGAATCAAATCTTACACTTACCGTTACTGCCACCGTTTGTTTGCTGTTGTCAAGATAGAGAGAAGCTTATCCTTGTGCAGCGTTTATCTTTATCTTTACCTCATTAGATATTTTGAGCAACTTTGATTGTGGGAGTTGAAGATCACTATTCTTCAGAAGTGCCCAGATGTATGTAGCTCTTTAGAATTAAGACCGTAGTTACTTAATTGACACAAGACTGATTTTTCAAGTCTTTCTCATACTATAAATACAAACATATAGTAATATATACATAAACACACACACACACACACACACACACACACACACATATATATATATATATATATATATATATATATATATATATATATATATATATATATATATATATATATATATATATATATATATATATATATGTGTGTGTGTGTGTGTGTGTGTGTGTGTGTGTGAACTCGACTTCCTGAGACCTTCTTAAAACGGGTGACGATTATTCTCCACTACTCACATGACAGATAAGAAGACCAAAGACTATTAAAATTAATACTATTGATATATTACACTACTGAGTGAGTCGCTGTTTCACCTTGACATATTCACAGTACTTTATTTTCTTCCAGGACGTGTAAGTTTACTTTTATCATCAGATTAGATGTTCTGCACACATTGTACAATACTATATGTATACACTGGCTTATACAATTAGGTATAAGCTTAGCTCCATGCATAATTGTATACATAGATGATAATTATACAACATGTTTATTAAGTGTTCCCTGGTGATAGATGCTCATGTTGAATAACATGCTGAACATAGAAATTACTAATCAATATTTGCTATTATTTATTCATATCATATTTATTTCATGGCCCCACTTCTAATTGATTTATCTACACGAGTGGACGAGCGACGCTCTTGATGTTGTTAGTGAATGTCAGTAATGTATATAGATGTTAAGTTGAATTTTACAATAAACTGTTATTTGTTTGGGTTGTTATTTCACTGATGACCTTCAATGGACAATATAATTTATCAGAACAACTTGGTAAACGTTATATTTCCCATATTACTGAATTTTAGTATTTTGTAAAAATGAGTCTAATAGGTGAGGATACAGCACACAAAGAGGATTTTTTTCTTTTTAATACAGTTGTCTAAAAGTTCCTTTACCCCCTGTGGTGACGTTTCCGTGCATGTGACAGAGTAGCATTGGTAGAGTAAACTTATGAATGAATCTGTGAGTCCTGTAACAATGGAGTTGATTAGTGGAAAAGAATCCTAGACATTATATATATATATATATATATATATATATATATATATATATATATATATATATATATATATATATATATATATATATATATATATATATATATATATATATATATATATATATATATAAAACAGTAACAAGTTATAAAAATGATATAGTGAGGAAAAAGAAAAACAAATGCATTATGTTCCAATCACTTTTATTTGTTTTTTCACCAATGTTTAAATAAATGCAATACTATTTCTAAATCACCAAATATGGTAAACCAATAAGGAAATAAATTTACTTATATATCGTAATGCATATGTATAGATTATAGCTATATCAGTAACTCTGTGCTTAACCAAGTAAGATTTAGTGTAAATCTATTTATACTGAAAAATGCATATACTGTAATTATGTCACATGATAGCCTAGTCTCGTCTACCACTGAATTTATTCCAATCCAAACTTGAGGCATCATAAAGTAGGAATTGACTTAAAAATAATATACTTTTGGAAATGCCTCTGATAGTTGTTTACCGATAACAAAAATAATGAGAATAATGTAAAAGGGGGAAAACAGGTTAGAAGAAGGCGATGGGAAGGGTGAAGAAGAAGAGGAAGGATAATATTGGAATGATGAAGAGAAGCCACCACCAGTCACTCTGAGTGTTCAACACAACCATTGCCGACCTTCTAGGCTACACTGATGTAACCTCCGTACGATAAAACAAAGCATAATAACATTTGAGAACTTATAACTTAACTATATATTAAGTAATATAATCCAGCCTCAATATATTACTATAAACCTTAACTGAAAGTAAATAACAACTATATTACGTAATAGTACACAAATATAGCCTCAAGATGTGACAAACTGACCAATATATAACACGATCTCTCGGTACACCTGATAAGGAATGGTCTTCATTCCACTCGTATTTTAGGCTCAAAGAGCCAACACTTCATTTTTTGGAGAGTTTCCTTTCACGGAGATGAGGCCAACATCCTGAGCTCATCACCTTGACGTGTGTGTGTGTGTGTGTGTGTGTGTGACCATTCATCCAGTGAAACAAATACCGAGTGATATTTGGATCCTCTCTCGTTCCAAGGTGGTCACAATTAGAGACCTTCACTCTGGTTTATGCTTACTGACGAATAATGCAATGTGAAAAATGTAATTTTAGCAATTTTCTACGTCATATTCGTTATATGTATATGTTATTAATATATGTACCAGTATTAATAGATACTGATGTAATTGATATATAGGAAGCACGTACAGTATATATATATATATATATATATATATATATATATATATATATATATATATATATATATATATATATATATATATATATATATATATATATATATATATATATAATGGGATTGTATATACGTCAAGCTGTTTTCATCAAATACTTCTCACTTAAAGTTACAATCGTTCGTCTCATCCGCCAATATATTTTTTTTCAGAAAGTACTTGTGTTAATATCGTTCACTCACAGACCAATGAGTCCCGCGGTTATGCATCGCTGGCCGAGCGACTTCACGAATTGTAAAACATACTTTTGTCACTTGACTCTGATATTTCTTCTCTGATTTTCAGATCTCAGGAAATCTTGTGCTTTCCTTCGACTGTTAGACTGGCAAGATGAAGAGTCTTTGACAATCAACAAGACTCACCTCTTGCACTTCTACTAGTTGTAACCTCAATGACAAAAGAATCAACTCTATGACTCCAAACTTAAACAAATCTAATAAATTTCTTTTCTCTCAAGATACCAGATTCAAAATATGCCCAAAACACGATGCAATAAACGAAGTGGTGAATATCGCTTGATGCGTCTTAACAAGTGTCAAGGTTATTAAGATATTCAGTCATATTACACATATAATAAACAAAATATAAGAGACAAAGTAACCAATAAAAGAGCCTCAAGGATGATGATTCATTCGTCATGTTGTTGATGTCACACAGTATCCAGCGAGAATGTGTGTATTATTGACGCATCTCTTATTACATAAATCTGTTTGATACTGGACGTTGTTTATTGAAGCCACATCCTGGATATGCCACTAAAATCATAATTCTAAAATAGTGTTATCATTTTATAAGTTCTTTACTTCTTACTCAGGGATACAGCCCAAGAAGAGATAATATATTTATGGGAGAAGCGAGAGTTATTTCCAAAGATTTGTTAATGTAATTGGTGTAAATAACATCATATTCAGTTGTTCTTGGTGGAATATTGTTCCTAGTTTAGTTTATTGTCATATAATTTAACCTCACGACGGGTACATCTTAAGGATCCTCTCAGTCCTCCAGGTTTTCCTATACAAGTCACAGGAAGGATTGTGGATTACTGTGACTTGATTATTAAAAAAAATTCTTAAAGACCACAGCTTTCACTGTAAGAGAAACTATACATTCATATAGATCATTTACTCCTCTGTTGTGAACTATTAGCCATCATTCGTTCTGTTCTGTATTATCTGAACTCAGTATTGAATTCACTTTTTTTTGCTGTGTTGATAGCTTTCAAACATTATGTATGTATGTATGTATGTATGTATGTATGTATGTATATATCAGTATAGACGTACACATTTTGTGCACGTTGGTAACGATCACTTGAGCTTTGTCATTTCACTCGCACCTGTGTGAAGCTGACATTAGCCACCAGCTTTCACCTAATTAGCTTTATTGATAATAACCACTTCGAACCAGAAAAGTCACACTTGTGGTAATAAACACTTACATTAACCAAGGCATTTATTGTTACATTGCGAGCTAATAAAATTTCACAGTTAAAACTAAGTACATTGTGTACAACTTTCAATTAATTACCAAAGATTAAAACTGACAAGTCTGTGTTAACTCTTATAAAGCAATTTGCTGTTGTTAGGCTATTTAAAGTAAAAATCAACCTTCTTGTTCCTTGGCCATCCTCGCGCCTTGAGATATAAATATATTTAAAATATGTTGATCAAGGCAAAGCAAAATCGCATTTTCATTGTCGTATTTGTCTTTATTACAGTAAATGATTGATGTCATGGCGAGGAGGTGTACTGAAAGTATCTTGGGTTGGTAGGTGTCCAAAGAATATTTTTCAATTTTAAACAGTAATAGCATGCAAGGAAAATATGGAAACTAATGACAGCAACTGTTTTGTAAACTAAACTTTCTAACGTAACTTTTTAGATGTTTTTATTTACGGTTATACGTGAGTACAAATAATGTATGTCACATTTGTTGGTCTAAATATATGACACATCTGCAGTGTATCCCTTACAAATATTTTATAAACCAAGATTATATGAATTGATTTCTATTATAGTAGAGTAAACAGGGCGGCACCTGACACCTGACCCTGGCAAGGACAGTAATATTTTAAGTGATTACACACCAGAATTTAGGCCCCTGTAGTGCCAGGATCTGTAAATCATGTATTAAAATGATTTAAATGTAATGGATGGGTCTTTATAGTAATGAAAACAACTTAGATACGAATCTTAATATTCCATACATCTAGTAGGGCAACCTCAGATAGTCGGTAGTGTCACCATTATCTAAGTCTTGCTCAAACTCCTTGCGTTTTAACAGTATCTGGGATGTAGATCGACCAAGCCTGATGGAGGGTCCCCGAGTGGCTGAATTACCATTGGCCTTGACCAATAGGCGCGCTGGATGGTTCCTGGGCATGGCCTGGATGTCGACACTCGCATGGTCAGTATTGGCAGGTTCAAGAATGGTATCATCCATTGAGAGGTTTCCGTGGGTCTCTCGAGCCATTCGCAGATAATCAGGAAGGGTGAAGTAGTGTCCAAGTCTTGCGTCTTCGAGCGTAGGTTCTTCTTCTGGCGCACTGTTGTGGTCTCTGAGGAAACAAGTAAACAATGATATTATGGTCAAAGTATTCGAAACTGTATCTAAAGTGAACCGGTGTTTAACCGTCAGGACAAGATAAAGTGATTAGGTATACCAGTTAGTGACTTGAAAACCAACAAGCAGATCACCTCCCAAAGAAGAGAATAAGCATCATATGAGTAGAGGAATGACAAACAATATTAACAATTACTTAATTATGCCCTTTTATCGACTTTCGTTACATCCTTTTGCAGTGACTCCGTAAAATCATCTCTAACCTTCACAGTCTCCCTCACACTACGCTTCTACCTCCAGGTGAGAAGGTGACTATGTTCTAGTCTGTCCCTTTCTCTCTTTCCCAACAACCACCTCAGCCTTTAGTCACCTCTCGTCTCTCTCCCCGTCCACACATCCTCACACCTCACTCACCCCCCCCCTACAAGACCCCCGCCCCCCCACCCACCTCTCTCCAGAAGAACCACTGGAGTAAGGTGGCAGGAGGTGTGCTGGAGCGGTGTTGACGGACAGCTGAGAGCTTCCCCCTCGTGATCACTTGTTTTCCTCGCGAGTGTGTACAGTGTAAACAACCAGGGGAGGCAGTATGTAAATAATCTCTAGATGTAAGATATAAACAACTTGGGAATGTAGTATGTAGTGAGCCCGGAGGTGCAGACAAAAAGTGGGTACAGTTCCTCACCCTAGGATATAAGGCGCAAACAATCAAAATTAATAATATATGAAAAAATAGTTGGTGTGAAATGTAATAAACGTAAACAAAGGAGGATATGTATTAATCAAAGGTATAGAATGCAATAAATTTTAAAATGTAGATGAATAAGTATCGTGTGAACACCCTAATTATTATGATCTATTCTATGGAGTGACCCATGCATAAAACATAGTAGACTGTTGACACCACAAGTCTGTGTGTGTGGTAAAGGGAGTATATTTCCCTACAGACGGCAGAGAGACAATAGCAGTCTTTGGTGTAAACATAGAGGAGCAGTATATAACCTTCGGGGTTTCCAACTGCAGTTCCATTTCATGCTTCCTTTTCTATTATCTAAATTTTCATATGTAAACTGTTTTGTTTTATTTTTGGACCCTGTAATAGTTACGCACAACACAGTTTGTAAATTGCAAATGGCCTCAAAATGCCCATGATATTGGCCAGATTTCAATTAAAGAAAATAGCTTTGCTCGCCATGTTCCGCCACCCACAATTTCTTGGAATCCTCCCCCCCCCCCTATATTTGAAACAGAGCAAATTATACCATGTGATTAAATAATTCTTAACAACTGTAGGAAACATTGTTGTATGAGTGTGTCCTCGGGCGTTGGAGATAACCGAGTGATAATTATTGGTGAATAGTGTGATCACGGGAGATAGATGAAGAGGGGTGAGAGGAAGAGAGGCAAGAAGGTCAGGAAATGTTGTATAAAGCGAGAGATGGATTATGGGAGCGTAGGAGATATCTAAAAACTTGGGCAAGAAGATTAGTAGATGTGAAGTGATGGGCTGAAGGAGAGGGAAGAGACAGTACGGGAAGAATCTTAGACAAAAATGAATTAAGAGAAAGTGTAAGGACAGAACGTGAGAGGGAGAACATAAGACAAGAGTTTCGTGCCTCGATATAGACACGGGCAACGCGGGTGAGGGGTACAGTACATACCTGACGGCGCGCTTGGCGGTGAAGAGGGTGAAGGAGCATCGGCAGCCACCCACCATGCCGTTGAAACCCGTGGTGCGACAGAACATCTGGCAGTCGAAACGCTTGGCGAGGGAGGGCTGGGGTGTTGCCAGCAGGAGGAGTAGGGCAGCCGCTACCACTACTGCGGGAGTCATGGCTGGAGAACACATGGACGGCCGCATCCGGAGGTGAGGTTGAGGTTCCTGGTGGCCAAGGAGAGGCACTGTGTTAGTTATTTTGTGGGAGTAAGTACGAGGTGATCACCTGTCAAGTTCGAGTATCTGTCCTCTCTTTAACATAAGTGCTACTTGAGGGACAACTTGTATAAAATTTACTGATCTTAAAAGCAGATGCTGTTGCTTGTTTTGAAGAAAATGGGGTAAGTTGACACAGATATAGAGTGAGACAGTGTATCCTGCAAAACACAGTTACGGTCTCGTTATATGGACAAACATTGTTCAATTTCTGAGGCTGCTCTAAATGTGCAAAAAACTAAACGATACAACAATTCAGTACTGTACTCCGTGTTATCCCTCCCTTCATGTCCCCGACGGCTCCCATCACTTACCCTCAACGTTTATACTCTGTGTAAACAACTCATCTTATAGTATAAAGATGGTTTGGTATTAAGCTTACCGCATGACCACAATTAGTCCATATATAATAGAGTTTTGATTGTAGTATTGTGGAGATGGTAATTTATTTCTGGAAAATAACTGTTTTAACCTTTGTCGGTTTTCATGGTGATTTCCTATCTCGTATATATACGTAGTTCAGGTGAGGGTGACACTCGTGCATAGTCATACACTCTCACAGACGAGCGGGTCTTTAAAGGTACAGCTTATTTCCATACTAATAATAACCTAGTGTATGGTGTTTGTGGGGATTTTAATTTGCATGGAAAAAAATAAAGACAACTTGTGGAGGAACCATGAAAATGTAGTATTTTCCAGAATATTATAACTTAAAAATTTTGCATATTTTTTAGATAAGGAAATAAAATAAAACATTAATAAAATGGTGCACAAATATCAGGTAAATATAATGGGGGGACGCGTCACTCAGGTGTGGAGCCGCCCACCGAGAGACGTTGCTCATTAACACTTAATTAGAGGAAGTTGTTGTTTCTAAATGAACTAAATATATAATATGCGTCGTGCTTAACTTAAATTATTTTCTATATTTTCATTCCCAGCTTCAAAAAAAAATGTTGAGTAGCCATAGTTTGCTCTGCTCCGCCCGTTTATATGTTCGTTTGTCGGTCTGTTTATCCCCACAAGGTGGATAGCCCAGCTGCTATCAAATCTCCTACTTTATTTCCCACTTCCTAACTTTACCTTCCTCCTACACCGTCTCCCATCATCAGAGCAAACGGCTGTCTTCTCTCCATCTCATCTTCATCATATTCGTCTATTTGTCTTGGAAGCAAAATGATCCATTCTTTCTCATTGAAATTTCCTAAAACTTCTAGTTCAGTTCTGCTTTATGCAAATTCTATAATGTATAATGAAATAATAGTAATGGTGTAAACAAACATTCATGATAAAAATTAAACTTCCACTTAGAACATCTCGAGTATAATGCGCTGTGTTTGTGTGTGTCAAACGACGTAATCCAACAGTTTCTTATGATGTAAAGTTTACGTGTGTGCCAACGATGAATCTTTAATTAATGTTGCCCTCAGGAACCCTTACGGCAAGAGTAACAGGTTGTTCTGCATACATGATATACAAGCTCTTGAAAAGGTATTTGTATTATATAGGTCTGTACACGCATACAAATAGGTACAGTACATATAATTTACACGTTTACTTAGACACACACTCTGGCAAGATCTATCATATAGTAGGGGAGAAGAGGTTACCGAGTAAAGGTTTTAGAAAAGGAAGCTTGAGTCAGTGTGTGAGGAGGGAGGGAGAGGAGGGAAGGGTTCAGCTCTGCCTCACAGTGATCCCTCAAAGATCCTTACCCCTCACAACACCCTCCCACCACATCTTCCCAACACGCCCTTCTTAGCGCCCCCACCCCTCTTCCTTCCCCCTCCCACCACATCTTCCCAACACGCCCTTCTTAGCGCCCCCACCCCTCTTCCTTCCCCCTCCCACCACATCTTCCCAACACGCCCTTCTTAGCCCCCCCTCTTCCCCCTCCACCACATCTTCCAACACGCCATTCTTAGCACCCTCCTTCTTCCTTCCCCCCCCCACCCATCTTACGCCCTTCTTAGCGCCCCCCCCACCCCTCTTCCTTCCCCATGAACCTGAGAGGCTTAAAATTTTATTCGAGTGTATGTGTGTGTGTTTCTGTGCTTGTGTCAATAATACATATTTTCAAGTGAAGTTGAAGTTTCTGATCTCTCTCTCTCTCTCTCTCTCTCTCTCTCAACTGATGATGTCTTATCCGGAAAACCCATTAGAGGATTACCGAGTATGTCAGGTTGAGACGGAGCCGCTCTACATCAACACTGTCATTTGAAATAGTCAGTTTCTCTCTAACTACGAGTTTGTTTTTATTCTCTCTCTCTAAAACATTAATATACAAAGGTAATAAAGAACAGCTGGAAGAGTCGGTGAAGGAACTGCAGGTGCTTGTGTGTGTGTTTGTGTGAGAGAGAGAGAGAGAGAGAGCAGAAAAATGCACAATACAAAAAGTGTCTGTAAATGCAGGAGAGTTAAGGGCTGTATACCTAAAGAGTCTATGATAATGAAACGTGAATAAACATCCAGATGATTGAGAGAATTAAGAAACCTGAATAAATAAAGGGAGTACCGAGCGTGGTCCCCCTTAAGACAATGTTGAGATGGGCACAAGTATAGTAGCTGAAGAGTTGAGAAATGTACACAAGGGTGACTCATAGTACAATGTTACAAAAAGTAGTGTAGTCGAGGCATATGTAAGGGTGTGAACGATAAGATAGATAATGGTGAGAATATAAAATGGTGTTTTGTTTATACACTTATAGCGAGAAGCTGACTATTATTTCGATCCCTACAAACTTTTGATTTGCACTGGATAATCAATCATTTTACTTCTTTATCTGTTAAGTTATTTATACATGGGTAAACTGGCTGTATGAACGAGTGTCCGAAGTAAGAACAAGTGAGGAAGACTGATACGGTTATGAAGATTTTTACCTTGATTAATAAAATTATATTGATTTGATCAGGACACAGCCACGCCAGTACATTATTTTATCCACTTTCCTATTCTAGATATTAATAAAAAAAAATCCTTATTGCACTGTCAACTACAAAGTCTAAGGCACGTAGGAATAAAGAGTGTTAATGCTCTTGTATGATGCTTTTCACTTCTTAAAAAAAATCACGTGAAAAAAGAGAAAAAGAATAAATATCTTACATTAATATCACAAAACACACCAATTGTTCATACTTACTTTTACACAACATTATGAGGTGAAAAAAGTCGACCACTGTTTATCTGATATAGAAGGAAAGTGTCCCTCCCACAGTACAACACTGGCATTGATATCTCGCCTGGCATTTTATCTTATACTCTTATTATAATATAGTTACTTGTGTACTAGTCATACAAACTGTACTGTATAAAGTGTATATCATTAAAATCTGTAAACTCATACAAAGTGATACATACGAGTCCACGTGTAGACACAGAAGGAAAGTTTATCGGTCAATACAATCACTGTTAATAAAGTGTTACAGAGACAACCATTCAGAGCCTGGAAGAGAGTGGGAGAAAGAGAAAATTATAACACATTTACCGACTTCGCTCTCCGAAATGGTTTGATGTTTTCTCCTTCCCTCGGAATCATTGAAAGCGCAGAGAATTACCATTGTGTCAATGAATACATTAAACAAAGGTAGTAACGAGGATAATTAAGTTACCAGTATGTTTTTGTATCCTAGTACAGTATTTGTAATAGTCTGGCAAACCCATAAACTGCACCTCAGTGTTTGGCCAAATTTTGCATTCTGTAAATCTGAACACTGAATTCCTGTGATGGACGTTGTCTACTCTGAGTACAGTAGATTCGTTACGCTTTTGGCTAGTCTCTACACACATTGCACTCTGACTCACCGAATTTGGGACAATGGTCACCAAGATGGTATGTGACCAGTGTTAAGCACCGTTGGACTGGGTGGGTTGATCGCCAGCACAAAGAAAATTTGGCCAGTGGGAGAGGAACTCGCAAAGACAGACTTAGTCACTTGTGAGCCAGTAATTGTCAGTAATTGCTATCAGTGCTATTATTGTTATATTATTTTTCTACACACACACACTAATAAATAGAAATGTTTGCCCCTCGTGTAACGAGGATGGCCGGCACAAAGGCCACCTACAGGTAGGTGTGAATTTGTTTAAGGTGTAGAAGCCATCACCAACACAACAACCATACCCTAAGTTAACGAGCTGTATGACCCAGTGTCAAGGAATAGTCCGAGAAGACCGGACTACTCGCCAACTGCACTGGCTAACCATTACCCCGGAACACGATCTGCAAATCGATTAATATCCAAGTTCCAAAGTACTGCTGGGTAGACAAAGGCAAATGGCGTAAAGAAATTTGCCCCTAGTCTCACCATGCCCGGGGATCGAACCCGGGTCCGCTCGCTTGCAAGGCGAGAATGTTGATAATTGCACCACAGGTAGCACACACACACACTATATATATATATATATATATATATATATATATATATATATATATATATATATATATATATATATATATATATATATATATATATATATATAAGTGAGCGTCTACCATCACTACCACCACACCCACTACCATCATCACTAGCAACACGTCACGAAACAAATGAATGGGGCGGTAAAAAGTCATAAACAGGTAACTCATTAAACATGAAAAAGCTACAGCAATAAAGTTCAGGTCAAGAGACAAGCTGAGGCGACCTTCCTTCCTTCCTTACGCCTGGGACACTGGTGCCACATCCATCAGTCACCACGCCCTCAGCCCCCCGATCATCAAGGCTCGGGAAGACAACATGTGGCATCGTTACGTCTTACACTCGTGTCACATTTCTCACTGTTCATGTTCTTCATGTTCTTTTCTTTTGGTAACTACGGGTGTGAATGAGAAATATGGCACCCTTGAGGAAGACAAGAGTATCTTATCTGTCCCTTTAACCCTACACTGACCACGAGCTACACTGATGCGGCAACATTATCTCTTCGCTAGAACTCACAAGGTAAAGAATTC